TATTATGATATATACATTAAACATTCGTGAGAAATAATCCTTACATTTTTTGTAATCAACCATACAGTTTTATTATATGCAAATATATTTGTAATATTTCTATAAAAAAAATTATACCCAAATAGCTTATGCAACACGCAACGCTATTTACGCTACACAGTATAAAGACCAAAATGCGACGGCTTACGCTATACGTATTTTAAAACACTGGGTGTGTGCGTGATAGAGAAAATGTGTATTTAATTTAAATCTAGTGAGATGAGAGAGAAAGTGGTTGAGGTGTCTGGGGGTGGGCCCCATGTGTGAGTGGATTTGTGTTGTAGTGGGGCCCGCTGTATTGGTTATGAATTTATAATTTTGAATTTATTCTTAGTGAATGTATAATTTTGAATTTTTTTTGGTGAATGTATAATTTTGAATTTTTTTTAGCTATCAATTTATCGGATCTATTGACTACAATTTATTTGTATTTCTGTCACTGAAAATCTTTCTCACTGGAACCATACCTTTATATATATATGGGTGAGCGTGGGTCGGTACGGTTCGGAGATTGATGAATTTCTGGGATGGTACCAAAATTCAGAGATCACTAAATTCAATCTCCAAAACTGTACCAAAAAGTCGGTTCAGTTCGCTTCGGAAATTTTTATTTTTTGGTTCGGTTCGGTTCAGTATCCATGACTATCGGAATGGTTCGCTTCGGTATAGTTTGGTTCGAATTTTCGGAGATTTCTTATTTTCTTAATTTTTTTTAATGACTATCTAGTTATATTTTAATTTCTATATGCATTAAAAAACAACATTCATCAATAATTCATATTGAAATATTTTATTTTGAAATCAACTTTAGAAGTAACTTTAAATTTTAGTTATTTAATTTTTATATGCTTTAATAAAACGAACATTCATCAATACTTCCTCATATTAATATTTTATTTTGAAATCAACTTGAGAAGTAACGCTAAAATTTTAGTTAAGACTAGATTTGTGCAATTAATATTAATTAAAATTAAAAAATAATATATTTGTTTCTTAAAAAATATTCTTTAACCTTTCATATCATTTTAAATAACTTTTTTATAATAGGAAAAATTCAATTGTAGATCAAGTATTACTAAGCATGAACGTTAATTGAAGGTTAATAGTTATTACTATATTATATAGGATCAAAATTGACATTAAATATATAAATATAAATATATTCCCCTTCACACGGTGGGCAGTGCCCACTAGTTTGTTTTATATGAAAAACGTATTTTGAGAATACGTTTTTTAATTAAACTAGTGGGCACTGCCCACCGTGGGCAGGTGAGCGGGACTGTATATAAATAACACACATCTAATGTTATAATTTGGTTTGGTTCTTCGGTTCGGTACGATACGGTTCGGTTCGGTTCTCGATACGGATATTTGTGAAATCTCCAAAACCGTATCAATTATTTTTCGATTCGATTCGAAAAAAGTCAGACGATCAACGATTATTTTTCAGTTCAATGTGATTTCGGTTGTTCGGTTTTCAGAATGGTTCTGAATTCTTCTAGTATCACGGTGAGCCCTATATGTATGTGTGATGAATTCTACTAAATATCTACTAGTACTCGTCAAATAAAAACAGTAGATAAAGTGCAAAAAGTCCTTAATGACTTCGACGAATTACATCACTCCACGTGTCACGATATTTCCCTCCGCCCCTATCCGTTCAACATCGCCATAAAGGGCAGCTTAAAACCACAGCCACTTACGCGGTCTCTACAGTTCCTCCCTCTACAGTTGCTGCATTTCCGTCGTCCTCCCCCGCATTTCCAGTTTTCCACCGATTTATTCACCGGCCCAAAGTTTCATTCACCAGACGAGCCTCGTCGGAGAAGTAAGACGAGGCGATGGAGAGTTTAGGAGCGAGAAACCTGGCAGCGATGGCGGTATCGGGTTACCCGATCGTGAGGCGCTCCAGGAAGAAGAGGCTTAGGGGCGCCGCGGGTCTAGCCGCGGCCTCTAGCGGCGTACGCGCGTCGGCGGCGCTCCGCGTCCGGTGTGGCGGCGCGAGCGCGGGGAGCGAGGGCTGCTTGGCTCTGCCGGTGAGGGAGGATTTCGCCGACGAGGAGGATTACGTGAAGGCGGGCGGGTCGGAGCTTTTGTTCGTGCAAATGCAGCAGAACAAGGACATGGATCAGCAGTCTAAGCTTGCGGATAAGGTGACATTTGCAGTCTACATATACTTTTATTTTATTTTATTTGTTTGACGCGCTAATTTCCATTCTAAATATATAATACTGATTACTTAAGCTTTGAAAAAATAACATTTTTTTTTTTT